TTTTAATCATTTTTTTTCTCTAGAAAGCTCATGGCGATTGAGTTTTGTTCAATACTTGATTATAAGACACCTTTTAATGTGTTCATAAAATGAACACTAGTAGAGATCTACTTACCTTGGCATTAAATTTGGCTACAAAGTCAAAGTGTTTCTTCAGGTCAGTAGCCAAGATTGCTTCAATGACTAGGAACCGGAAATGCTTAAATTCCACGTGGTCTAGATTACCTAAGAAATTATACTCTGGCCGGGACATAAAGAGATTCCATGCTGCAGCGGCATGATGATTCTCCAGAACAGACCGGTCATTGTACAGCACCGCCTAGCGAGGAAGGCAGGAGAGGAGAGGTTACAACTTCTTATGTTAAAAAGGAATCACAAGAGTCTATGAGAATATGCAAGGCTTTAAATTTCTCATTTTTATTCTGGCTATTAAAAGTCACTGTGTTATCTTAACTGTTGATGCCTTTTCTTGGGTAATATCATTTTCTTGACAATATAAGTTCCTCCCTTAAAAATTTTTTGCATATATATTATTATTACATGTATACATTATATATTAATTTTATATATATAATTATTTTCTTAAATTTTTTTTTATTTGAAAAAACTTTGTTTAGGTCAAAAGAATTCTCCCCAGTGTCCAAGATAAATGGATAGTAAATTCTTACCAGTGAAAATACATGCACTAAAAATAACTGTTACCATGGAAATATTTCCAGAGTAAGTTTTCCATCCCAAAGTCATACCCTTAAAGGAGCAAGGAAAACATGGTTCTCCAGTCTTTTTAGGAGGACGTGTGTAAGCTGTCTTTGCTTCATCGGAGATATTCACTGTTAGTCATTTGATTCTAAGAAGGCAGCTGAGAAACGATCTTTCTGTGTAATGAGGTTAGACATCTGCCACGAATATCTTGGCATACACCATGACATCTTTGGAAATTAACAAGGCCTCTAAGAATTTTACCTGAGCACTAAGTACAGGCTGGTTCCCATAGACCTAGTGCCTCTTACAAGTCATATTTGTAAAATTAATTTTATTCCAAGAAATGTATACCCTAATTTATTTTCTCCTCAGGAAACTCTAGCCTTTACCTGAGGAGCACTGGTGGCGACCAGGAAAGCATTCGTCCTCCCTGGGTGATCGTAGTCATGCATGGCTGCTGCCACGTATAAAGCCATCAACTCTAGGGCCGGGATATTCCCAGACAGACATCCGTATTTGTCATCTGGCACATGATACATTTTTGAAAACACATATCCCATGTGTCCGTGTGTAAATCCACTGTCAGAATCTGAGGAGAGGAAGTGAAAGTGATAGACATTCTTAAAAACTGTAAAGCTGGAATCCTCTTTCTGATTTCCTTTGAAATAAAGCACACAATTCAAATTCCTGGCTTTTATAAGAAGCACAGGCATAATTCATACACACCAGAGTCGCTTGCTGATCCGTGATCAGTGATCACGCTTGGGAGGCCAGGAATTGGCTGCGTTGTGAGGTACCACACAGCATGTAAAACATCAGTGGCGTGGATTCTGTTATGATCTGTAACGATGCAAAGGAGCGAGCGCACATCAGCTGGTGAACTCTGGGGCCCAAGGCTGAAGACTGCCATCTACTGGGTGAACACTTCTGTCCACACTTTAACTCTCCAGGGAACGCATGCCAGACTTCCCTGGACAGGGACTTCTAGAAAATTCTTCCACCAATTCCATCATTTTCACAGTAACAAGAAACCGCACCCACAGCACTTATTGTGCACCACTTATGCAAAGTGGAAAAGCCAGTATCTGATTCTTCCAGAAGCCTATGTACACAGTTAACTCAACGTGTTGTGTTTGCATTTCTTTTTCTTTGCTCTTGTACAAGAAAAACTTTGTAGAGACGCAGAAAGAAAGACCTAAACTACTCAGACCAATGGTCTCAAGGACCAAAATGTCATCTCAGATGAATGAATGGCATCTTCTTCCTATTTACAGCAAAGAGGGCCAGCTGAAGGGACCAGCCACAATATTGAACACCTCACATCCCTCTTTACCACCAGGAATTAGCAGGGGCATCAACACCAATCCTCACCAAGCAATCATATATATTTTTTGTCATATTCCCACTAGTAAGTTGCTTATGCAGACTGCTATATCAGCTACTGCTTCATGAAGTTTTCCCCCCTAATCCCTTCCTTTTTATAGCTGCATCTAGATGAACTCAGACTAACATGAATGACAGTTAAGCTTTATGCTCCCCTTTGCCCTGAACGGTGTTACAGATCGACTCTGACTAAAGACTTAATCTCTAAGATGTGAATAGAGTCTCCCGTCACAGTTCACCTGATTCCATTTTCACTTTCCCTCCACAGCTTTTTAATACTAATTGTGGATTCGTTTACAGAAGGCCATCAGACACATAATTCTTCAGGAGTGTCAATGCTAAAATAATTAGAGGAGTGAACGCTTGTATTTGTAATTAAAACTATGACAAGGAAGGCCTTCGCTAGCTTACTCACATAGTCTAACCCTCTAAGCTCAACAGAGAGGAGACATTATGTTTTGAAGCAGCACCAATCAAGCCAAAGCGTTCCTAGGAGATGAAAATAAACTCTTTTATGGAAATGCAAGGGGCCAAGAGACCTCAAATAGTGCAAGCATGTTTATTTATTTTAACATTTACTTATTTTGTGTGTATGTGCATATACACATACACACAAGCACACCCTGGAGGTCAGAGGAAAACCTGTGGAAATGAATTCTGTCCTTCTAACTATGGGCTCAAGGGCTCAAACTTAGGTCCTCCGCTCTGATGGAAAGCATCTTTATCCACTGAGCCAACCTATTTGCCCTGTAAGTATCCTTACTTTATAAAATATTTTCACATGGAGTGGACAATTTAATAGTTTATAAAAATAAATTATTTGCTCATCTAAAAATAGGAAATATAAAACATAAAATAACAAGCTTTAGAATCTGGAAGTTTCTTTTTATATTTGAAAACTGGCCCTGTCCCCCCATTGTCTCAAGTGACACCACAGACAGCAATGTGCTCCAGGTCACAGCAATGCGGCATGACCACACATCACAGTATTTCTATGCAGTGTGGCATCTGAGTGAACTCAATAAAACCTGCTGATTGAAAAGTTAAAATACATGTGTGAATGAAACAATAATTTGTAATTCTTGTCCAGTGCATAACTGTACTTCAGTTTTCCTGTGGCTTCCTTTCTGAAAATGTTTATTTATGTAACTAACTCCTTAATCCTTGTGAAATCACTAACATTTATGTCACTTGCTGGCATCTGACCAGGCTGAGCCCTGGGAAAGTCACATTAAAGGAAGCCAGGCTTATCGCCAGATTCCCACTCCTCCCCTCAACAACCCCCTTTTTCTTCTCTCTCTTCCAACTTTAATGGCCTCAGCAGCCAGACTATCCCAAAGGACCCAGGACCATTAAGCACCTCTTCCCCCAAGCCAACTGGCCTGTTCTGCCCCTCATACTTTAGCTTGTACGCCTCAGCACATTTCAGTGGCAGGCTGTGTTCCTCCTTCTTTCTGGTCATACTATGTGCTATGCATTTTCACATGAGTACACCATGTGAGTATCTTAAAAACATCATGCTCACTAAGCTAGCATGTTCATCCTTTTCTGAGATACCTGCCAATTATTTGTGTCCAAATATAAGCATTTTTTAAATTTAACTTCATTTTTTTCCTGTTTTTGCTTTTAAGACTGGGTGTCTCTCCTTATAGTTCAAGATTGTTTTAAACTCATTATGTGGTCTAGGATAACCTTGAATTTCTGATCCTCTTGCCTTAGTATCCTGAGTGCTGAAATTACAGACATGTGCCACCAGACTTCCTACTTGCTAGGTAAGTACTTTACCAATTGGGCTACGCCCCCAGTCCTTCATTTCAAGTCTTGATAACTACAAAAGCCATGAGCTTTTGAAGTTCAAAATGTATAAAAGCAAACTTAAAAGGGAAAACAGGTTTTAAACAACACATATTCAACATTAGTGCACATGCTGCCTGAGTCTACAGAAAGTACATTCCTAAGACATATTCAAATTAACAGATTAAATAACATTGATCTTTCTTCTATGTATTTATTCCTTTGAAAGACCATATGGATATTACATACTTCTACAGCTCCTTTAGTTGGGTCTTTGAACGTTTTCTTCAGCTCCATTTATTCTATATAGTGTTGTAAAGCAACCATGCGTACATGCAGTGATTACATGGATTTGACATAAACATTTAGCCTCTCCTCTGCATTCTGTCTTCATTATTATAATTTTCTAAATAATCAATACTGAAATTCTTGAGTGCCTTTATCTTGGGGGTTTCATGTGCACCCGACTTTTTAAAACAACTTCCCCATTACCATTTTCGTAAGTTTCTTCTTTTCTATACTATTAACTAAACCACCATCTCCCAGCCCCTCTGAATACCAACTAGGTTTATCTCATCTTGAGAAAACATCAACTGTTCTGGTTTTAGTTGAATTGATCAGATACAATGATAAAAATTTAAATTCAGTCAATAAAAGTTGGTGATTATTTAATGAGAATAAATTTATATTTAACATTTAATCTTACCTCAAACAACTATGAGAGATATACAAGGCACATATTCTAATCTTTAAGAAATATCATCCCATTTGATCCGGACATTCATGTGAAACAAATCCCATGACCGTATTTTCAAGACAAAGAAATGAGGCTAGAGGAGATGGGTGAGGCTCCAGGGCCTTACACAGCGTACAGTGAAGGAGACGGGGTTCCAGCAGCACCCACTGATAGAGTGAGGTCACACAGAGTAGCCAACGATACAATGAGGTCACACAGATTAGCCAATGTACAATGAGGTCACACAGAGTAGCAACAATACAATGAGGTCACACAGAGTGACCAAGGACTTGACTTCCCACCACCTTCTGCAGGTCTGAGGGGCAAGCATTGGATTATCTTATACTCACAAGGAATGTCCCTATATCCAATCTCCAAAGCATGAAAGTAATTCATAAATTCCCTAACCGGGATTTTAAAGGCTTCAAAGAGGCCCATGTCTTCAAACAGTCTGTATGATACCTGAAAAGGGGGAGACAAGACCTTGTAAGACATCACTCATTATGCAAGAGATGGTAAAGGGTAAGAGTGTGCATCCATCAACTACAATTGATATGCTCCCAGTAGGGATATTTCTATTGGGAATAGTAAACACACTGAAGGCATCTGTATACTGAGTCAATGGAGTTCCTTACCATAGAAACTATGTCATTTGTATTTAAGATAATTATTGCACATAAATCCCACCCCACCCCACCCCCCCAAAAAAGAAAAACCACAGTGTAACTAAGAACAATGCACTGAGTTCTTAAATTAGATGATTACTGAACACTTTAAGATAATACACTCATGCTAAGCCAGGCCTGGCATCTGCCACCTGCAATCCCAGCACTTGGGAGGATGTGTCAGTAAGATTGTCATGGCTTTGACTTCAATGCTAGTCACAGAGTTCTTCCTACTATTCTCATTATTATTGTCTTAGCCAATATTTGAGTTCTTGTATATAAGCACTAAGGGAATTAACAATGCATGCTGAATCAATAATAATTACAGTAACAATGGCAATGGTGTACATACACACAGCACCAAAAGAGACCAGTACTCTAATCAGTCAGCACATACTAATTATTTATAGATAGTTCTCAGAGTACATTTTAAGACTGGTACTATGAGTTTCCAATATCTGATGGCAGAGGATGATGAAAATAGAGAGGTTGAGCAGCTTGCAGATGATCACCCAGTTGGTAAGGAACTGTACATGTCAGTTTTGGAGTTTGTAGTCTTAACTGCTTGATATTGATATCAAGGATCTGTCATCAAAATCAACCACCTAGTGTTTCACACACAGTCATTCTGAATTCAAGAAGAAAGGATCATGAATTGAGCAAACTGTCTTCACTGAAAAGAGTAATTATAACTTTAAAATCTGAAGGCTGGATAGAAGGCTTAGTGGTTGAAAGCACTGAATGCTCTTACAGAGGACCAAGGATCAATATCACAATAATACAATATCACCACATCAACTCCTAGCACCCATGGTATCTCATAACCATCTGAAACTCTAGTTCCAGGAAATTTAATGCCCTCTCTGGCCTCCATAGATACCAGGCATGCATGTGGGGCACGGACATACATGCAGGAAAAATACAAATATATATTAATAAAATAAGATAAATTACTTTTTGCTAAAAAGATAACATGTAAAATATTCAGATTCAAAGAATTCAAGAAGGCCAGGAGCTGAGGCCTCTGCACATATGGTGCTTCAAAAACCTGTTTGATGTGAAACTTGGCCCTGTGGAGTCTCAGACAAAAGGTGATTCTTGGTCTGCCCATGCTAATTAATTTCAGCTGTCCTAACATCTCACTAAAGGTGGTGTGAAAGTCAGGGTGGGGGCCGGGGGACTTTTCCATAATCAGAACTTTGTGACTCATAAACTTAAAGGCAGAGTCTCAGAAAGAGCTACTTAGCACGGCAATTGAAACTGTGTTCCCTCGGAAGCTCTATGCTCCATGACTGATTGAGGTGAAAGGGATAGAGAGGGATATAAGAGCATGTCTTGGTGGATGACTTGTTCACAGACATACAAAAGATAAGTGGGTGAGCTTTGAGATTTGTTATTTATCCTAAATATTCCTAATGTCTACTGGTATCCTTGACTCTTAAACAGATGGCAGAGCTAAGAGTGTTGCTCACTGGAAGAGCCCATGAGCTCAGCACAGTGGATTCAATCTCTAGCAAGACAAAAATAAAAAAGATTACTCATTCCCTTACCTTTGAGAGCACCGAGGAACACCAGAAATTTTGCAGTAGCATTTGCTCTATTGTCCATGTACTGAAAAGCTAAGCCACCAAGGTCACCATGCTATGTGGTCACACTCTCTGTTTGGAGGGCTGGATGATGCTATAGGTGAAAGTGTTTTATGGGTTGCTGGTATGTAGCAGACTGAAAAGGACCTGGACTTCTGTGAAGGCTAATCTCATGAAGTCTAATGTTTACTCAATGTTTACCAAACCAAAAAAAAAAAAAATAATAAAGGAAAAGAAAGCAAAGCAGAATATTCTTTCAAGCCTAAATTTCTTCTCTAACATGGATATTAAAACAAATAAACAAATAAAACTCCTATACCAAGCTGGTGTAGTGACATAAAATTATAATCCCAGCCCTTAGGAGGTGGAGACAGGAGGATTAAGAGTTCCATGTGACATAGCATGCTTGACAGCAGCCTGTGTTATATAAGACTTGTCTCAAAACAAAACAAAACAAAACAAAACCCCACAAACCAGCCAGCCAACCACTGCCATGACCACCACCAATAAAAACCTATAGTTACCATGTAGATTAGAGACAAGCAAGCATGTGTGGTGTATGGAATCTGAAACCCCAGAATTCTGAGGTTGAGGCAAGAAGACTGTCATGAGTTTGAGGCTAGCTGAAGCTAGCTATATAGGGAATTTCAGGTAGGCCAGCCTGTGCTACAGTGTGATACTGTCTGAGAGAGAGAGAGAGAGAGAGAGAGAGAGAGAGAGAGAGAGAGAGAGAGAGAGAGAGAAGTCTGTGGGAACCTGTACCGTGCATCAAGGGCAAAAGTGTATAAGAATTCTCAGTTCTCCTTGTATACACCACACACAATCCCTGGTAGAAAGGAATGATCCTGCATGGACCACAGCTCTATTTTGTGGCATAATACATTATGTGCCTGGTTCTCTCTAGGTGTCACACTTTGCAATTGGATTCAAACACTCCTAGGAGGAAAAACAAATTCCGACACAAAGGCAAATTGGATACAGTGGCTGCCTTGAACTTGCTAAGATCAGTGAGCTTTGCAGACAGCTTGGCACTAAGGGCTCAGGAAGAGATGAATGGAACTGTCGACTCCCCATAAACATGGCTGCCTGCCACTGTATCATGGTCATGGCCAGGATAAGTCTAGAAGAGGGACACTGACATATTATACAGATGGTAATTAGCTTCTGCTTCATAGCTCATCATCTAAGATGATCCATCATTGGTTTGAAACAGATTTCTTTCTCAACTTGATTGATAATTCCTTTAGAGGAAGGGTCTTTTCTTGAAGACCAGATGAATTCTCTGGGTCTGTGTATTTAACACTAAAAGTAGGAGCACCAGTTTCCTGTTCAAATCCTATGAACTGTATTTTCCCCAAGACGCTCCATACTCAGGCTCTTGAACAGCAGCTGAGGACAGCCAGTCTTAGGGTAGAGAAGAACCAGTGTTCCACAAATTTCTAGTATTTCACAGAAAAGTTATAAGTGGCCCTCATCAATGGGGCTGGGTCTTGATCCCACTGAAAGCATTTTTGGGGTGTTGCTTTGCAATTTTTGAGGTAGAGATTCACAGAGCCAAAGGTGACCACAGATTCACCAAAGTCAGAAGTCTTCGGGGGTGCTGTGATATTACTCATATTTTAAATACATATTGATATACCATAATACCACCCCTTGGACTATAAATATAATTTTAGTTATTTACTTTAATTTTATGTGTATAAGTACTTGCCTACATGTATACATGTGCACTATGTGCCTAGAGAGTGCAGAAGAGGACACCAGATCCCTGGAACTGGAGTTCCAGATGGTTATGAGTTACCATGTGGGTGCTGGGATCTAAACTCAGGTCCTCTGCAAGAATAGTAACTGCTCTTAACAGGTGCACCATCTCCACAGCTCTGGATCATGCATATTTTGATGGCTATTTTATAACACAATCAATCATCACTTAGCTTCAGTTTTTCAAACAAGTATATTTAAGCACCTAATTTCTATATGTTTTCCTTCCACTTCCACCAAACAATCAGTCCTATAATAGGGAAGCCTCGAGAGAGTATCTCTTACAGAAACAAGACCTAAGACATTTGTCATGCACCTGGCAACTCACTCTGTATTTCCATTAGAGAGATTGTTTTGATTTTCAAACACACAAAATTCTGATGTTTCCCAAGCCAGTGGGGGAGATACATATTTCTGCACAGTACCTTATTTTTCATGAAACCTAAGCACTATGATATTCAGAAGTTAAAACAATAGTCAGGAGATGTAATTATAGGGATGGATTCATCATTAACAGGAGTTTCGTTTCCGAGGCCAGGCCAGCTTCTCTTTGGCTTGATTCTATGAATTTTGGTCACTTGTCCATCTTGCTGCCTCTGCCTCTGTTGCCTTAAAAATTACATAATATCTTAATTGTAGACAGCAATACTCAATTGAAATTCCGGTTGTTATTTGGTCAGCACATAGCCATAGAACCTACCACATGTTCTCTGATAAAATTTCACTTCTTTCTGCATGCCTACCTACAGGTGTTGGGAATGTACAGATTAGCCACCAACGGACTGTTTCCTTCTGTGTCTCAAGTCATCTGCTTGCATACATTTCTTACCTGGCTCAGAATACGACCACATTTTCTTCCTATATTTTCCACTAAATCAAAAATTGGAAAATTCCAGGTGTTTAACTGGTCCATAATTGAGTCCAGGTTATCCATGATGAGCGGTTCAGGGGCAAGAATTGGTTTGTCCTGTAATAGAGATAAAGATATTGAACCGCATATAGTTTTTCTATTAAAAAATCATCAGCAGTTACTATTCTTGCAGAGGACCTGAGTTTAGATCCCAGCACCCACATGGTAACTCATAACCATATGGGAAGTCCAGACAACAACTTTAGGTGATCTTACTCAAGTTCCATCTGCTTTATTTTGAGACAAGGTCTCTCATTGGTTGGAGCGCAGCAAGTGGGCTTGGAATCACCTTTCTCTGGGTCCCCAGCTTTGACATCGCAAGTGACCACCATCAATCATACTGATTTTTTTTGTTTTATGGATACAACTCATCTTTCATGCTTGCATGGCAAGCTTTTTACCAACAGAGCCATCTTCCCAGCACCAAGTGTTCATCTTACATATGAATACAAACAGTGTAATAAAAAACTGTGAATAAGGAAAAATTAATAAACTAATCATATTAAATGGTAATATAATATTAGACTAATAGTTTAGAAAGACAGATTGATTGGTTGACTAATTTTCCTAGGGCATCTTCTGGTATAGCTTTGATACCCCCCTTGGTTCGTAAGTGAACCAGTATTTGTTTTCCTTGTTGTAGTAGATCAGGTTTGTACTGATTCTAAAAGGTCCTTTGATGATGACTTACCTGGTATAAAGACACTCATGGGTGCACATTTAAGTGAGGTTAAGCATGGCTGCCAAGGACAGGGAGCAGCTGACTTGCCTGTAATCACCAGCTGCTGTCCTTAGCATTTTTCTTTAACCATGCTTTTGCTGCTTGTACCTTCAAACTAGCTGTTCAGGCAAAATTTTTAATGACTTATTCTCTTTATTTTCTTTACTTTTTAAAATAGTTGTGGTGGTGAGAAAATATGAGTATCCTGATTTAAGATGCTTTGTACACTGACTGCCCTTCCATTTACACAGAGCAAGTTGTCTGGTGGAGAGCAGGTCTCGGGGATAAAATTACATTCCTGAAAGATGTGGCAGCTGTCATTCTCCAGGAATAATGCTGATCTGAACAGCTCAGATATAAATGTCTCAAAATAAAGCAGATGGAACTTGAGTAAGATCACCTAAAGTTGTTGTCTGGACTTCCCATATGTGCTTTCCTACATATGTACCTACAGACTCTCTCTCTCTCTCTCTCTCTCTCTCTCTCTCTCTCTCTCTCTCTCTCTCTCTCTCTCTCTCTCAAACTTTTCATTACCAAATTAAAAAAAAATCAAGAAGAAACCAATATGCTCAGAGAGAGGAAGATTGTAACAATACACCTAAAGGATACAGACACATGGATCCAAATGGATGCAGCTATAAACCTAAGACAACAGAATCTACCCCTAAGCCAGTCTCTGCCACAGAAGCAAGTTCTCATGGAAATGAATGAGTTTAGTGATGTGGGGCTACCAGGAAGATCATGGTCTGGGAAGTATAGGTGCCACAAGCCGATGCTTTCCTCAGTGGCTCTCTCTGGCACTCGGCCTCCTCTTCATTCTGCAAAATGTCACTGCTGTCACTGTTGTTGTTGGTCTCATAATCGGAGGTAACTTGGGAAGTGTCATCTGCAATTGAAAGAGAATAGCCTGTTTTAAGAGACCTATGATGGGGAAGGGGACACAAGGAAGTAAGTGCTCCTGAAACACATCAGCATATTATAAAGTATTTAGAAAGACTGCTTTCATATATCTACACATCAAAAACAGAATAATAGGGAGGGAAATACATTTTCAAGGTTTATTTTAGTTTTGACTATATGCATGTATGTCTGCATGCACATGATTTATATGCCCGTGGAGGCCAGTTGAAGGTGTTAGATCCCTTGGAACTGGAGTTATAGGCAGCTGACTGTAAGCTACCCAACATGGGTGCTAGGAACAGAACTCAGGTTTTCTGGGAAAGCAATTCCTACCTTTGTACAATCTCTCCAGTCCCCAAAATACATTTCTAATCCTAACAAATAGGTGGGAATTAAGATGTGTGATTTATGTGACAGTCAATTACCCCTCAATAATAACTTTTAGATAAATTGTTTGAATTAATTCTATAAGATCACATTTTTTCCTCCCTGTTCTTTCTCTCTTTTCCCCCTTCCTTCTTTCCTTTCCTTCCTTCCTGGTAGTGGGGATCAAAACTAGGGCTTTATACATGGTATCAAGAACTCTACCACTGAGCTACACATCCCCTAGCTGGATTTAAATTTCTATTTCCTCTATTCTTCTACTGTATTAAGCCAGGAAACAGTTGACTACACACTAATTAAAGGCATATGTGATGGGAATAAGCGTGTGGACACACACAGGAAGGAGTAGTCTGTAGAGCATGAAGCAATGGCTCATTCTTGTGAGTGGACAGATCTCATGTGTATGTCCCAGGTCCTTGGGAGTCTAAGCTTCCTCCTTTTCTTTCCTCCACTATCTCTCCTTCCAGTCAGCAACTATTAGCTGAAAATCCAACCAGAAAAAAATACAAGTGTCTAAATAACATGCTTCCAAACAGTCATCAGGAAGAATGAAATATTTGTAACATTATCTCAGGACCCTTTTTTTCTTCCATCTTTCTAATATAATTACTTGCCGGATAAACTTAGGAACAAAGGGCAGAATAAAAACATAACTGATCAGGTACAACTCCTGATCAATGGAGAGAAGGAGAAGCTCCAATGGAGGACCATGGCACTGTGAGAACCCATGAAGGTGATCTGCGCACTGGAGGACTATGGCACTTCGAGAGCCCAGGAAGGTGACCTGACCTGATGCCTTCATCCTGTTAGCCCTGGGAGACTTGGAGAAGCATCCTAAGTCTTCAATAAGCTACACAATAACCACACAGATAATTTTCCTTTGACTTCTCCTGGCCCTTTGCATATTGCTACACAAGATTCTCATAGAAAAAATGTCAGTAAATTTTGTTTGAGGGTATCTACTAAGAAATGTTGATAGGGATACATAATTATTCCTGATGGTACCATGACCTTAAAGTCTACACTTAATAGATGCTTTGATTTCTACATTGTATACTTTCAGCACAGTACAAATAAACCCACAGAGCTATGCCAACCAAAATAATTATTACAGCAACATCACAAGCAGTAGCTACTTACAGTGACCCCATAATCCAATGAGAAATAAATGATTCTGTGTGTTCAATGTATGTGGTGCCCAAAGAGGCCACAAGAAAGCATCAGATTTCTGCAGCTAGAGTTACACATGGTTGTTGAACTACCAGATGTGGGTGCTGGGAATCAAACTCAGGTCCTCTGGAAGGGCAGTCTATGCTCAAATCTTCCAAATCATCTCTTCATACCCCCACATGTCGTATTTAATCTTTACAGTGATTTTATGTAGTGGATACTACTGTTATTCTGCCATTTTGCAAGTGAAAGGACTAAGGTGCAGAAATTTAGATGACACTTGAGTGGGGAACAGAAGGAGGGGTGATCCAGGTTACAGCACCTATGCCCTTAACTTGAGGATACTGCCTCAAGGAAGAGCCATATCATCCTGAACAGTACAATCAGGGTCATATTTTAGCATCGGGGTTGGTGATCTCACAAATACATGCTGGGATAGGCAACTCTCTAATGAACAAGGCATCAAGATGAACCACCATTTATGTATAGTATACCATGTAACATACAGTGCTATACATTGTATAAAGGGGGCTCTCTGACTTGAAAATAATATACACTTGTGTCCAAGTACAAAAATGCCTGGGAGAATCCACCTTCAAAATTTGCTATGAATTAAATTTAGATAATGTTTTGAGGATGATTTTTATCTTTGTTGGTCTTTTTAAGTTTACATTTAATTTAAATTAGCTGGAGAGATGGCTCGGTGGTTAAGAGCACTTGCTGCTGCTATAGAGGAAGTTCAGTTTCCAGCACCCACATCAGGAGGCTCACAACTCATAACTCAACTTCAGCTAAAGAGATCTGATGCCTAGTTCTGGCCTACATGGGTACTACACTCATGTGCATAAACACACACACACACACACACACACACACACACACACACAATTTTAAAAATTCATAAATTTAAAATTCACAATTTGAAAAAAAAAAAAGCCAGCAATTCAAGTTGCCTTTTTTTGTCAGGAGGAAAATATAAAATAAAATATGTTGAATTTTGAACTACAGAATACCAAAAAGTGTGTTACCTGTTTTGTTTGGTTTCTGAATGGCTGAGCCACTTCTCTCTGAAGGTCCATCAGGAGGATTCCCCTGTGAATAAGGTCTGCCACAGCTGAGAAATGTTGAGAAGGCATAAGTACCTCCGTACATTTTAAAACACTATTAAACACACAGTATCTTCATAAATATCAACCATTCCCCGCCTTAGTCTTTCACTGTTGTAACCAAACCCCTGAGATACTTCAGGGAAAAAAGACTATTATTGGCTCATGGTTCAGGGGTGCCAGTCCTCAGTCAGGATCTCCACTGTTTTGAACCAGAACTGAGACAACATATCAGGGCAGTGACAAAGTGTGAGCTACATTATGGCTCACAGAAAGCAAGGGAGAGCTAGGGAGAGGCCAGGGTCAAGGAATACCCTTCAAAGCACAACCCTAGGGACCTACTTCCTCTAATGAGGCTCCCATACTCTGCTTCCAACATCCCAATAATATGCCTAGTTATAAGGGTATCAATAGCCTCATCCATTGATTAAGTCAGGGTTGTCTAGAGCTAGCCATTTTCCAGGAGCCTCCATGTTTCATATCGACATCACACAGCACATATAATAAAATATCACAGTCTTCTACTGGTGCGTCTAGGAGGGCAATTCACTTTGTATTATATGCAGTTGCTGATAGGTAGTCCTCTTTGGTGAGTACTGATGAGCAAAGGGACTTTAAACTCCATCTGACTCTCTTCCTCCTCCTCAGTCCACATATTTACATTGAAATGCTGCTAAAGTTGTTAAATTATTTGGAAAAATACTGGAATAACAGCCATTTATCTGTGAAGTGGTTCTGAAGGTCCTGGCACATGTCTAGCTATGACTATCTTTTCCAGTGGGACACCTTTAGAGCCTCATTACTCCTCATAACTTCATTTCTTGGAGTTAGGATGCTCAATTTCTAATCAGATTTTTAATAAAAGACAATAAATGTTAAAACAGAATGATAGGATTTTATTTTTCCCAAAATAAGTGTATTTATTTACTGCAAATTTTTCCATTCATCCTTTAAGGTCTTAAGAAAATGAACAAAGGAGACGGACATTGTGGAAAAAGTGAATGACATTGTACACACTAATGTTTGAAAAAAAAAATGAGCCAACATGATCTGTGGACAACCAAGATGATGGAAGTTTCCAGAGAAGTGAGTGGTGGCCCACCCAGAGATTGGTATAATAGGAGAATCTTTTTCTTTATTTTCTCAACAATTTGACTACTTCACAAGTCAAAAGGTAATCACACAAACCCTACTGAGATCCAAACTGGCCCTTCCTTTATTATTTTGTTTAGCTACTTCATGATTAGTTTTTCATCTCCTATTTTGTGGCTGGACTCTTTTCTTCCAAATAATATAAAAGATCTCAGGAGAACTTTTTTGTCTCATAATTACTTAGCTACAAGATGACCCAGCATAAAGGGAAAGAAATTAGTTTGATATCTAATGTTTAACATCTAAATGTCTCATCATTTTCTTAACTGTACATGCAGCAAAATATTTCCCAGCTACAGTATACCATCATACTATGTAAATTTAGTTTTCAACTCTGAAATATAAACAGAAAAGCATTATACGGGATTTATTTCTAATGAGGGAAACCCATCATCTTGCCTTAGGGGATAAAAAGAAAAGAAGAAAAGAAATAAAAAGACCAAACTAACTTAGGACTTCTAATCGTGTGTGAAGATTTTTCATTATCTGACAATATCTAAGAGGACTATTTAAGTTACTAGTTCAAATAGAGCAGCTCCTGTTTCCCCCCTACATACATACATACATACATACATACATACATACATACATACATATGTAAATAAGTAAATAGCTTGTTGCAAAGGCATTACAACAGTCAAGAGACTAGGTTCAATTCCAAGCCCTTCGAGTTCAGCAGGGGAAACCACAACAGTTAGTTGTGTGTTTCTGGAGCATTCTGTGACTACATGGGTGGCTTCCTTGAAGGGAATTATAAAACCTGGTTTGAATTATAGATTTATAAAGCCCAAACAAATAAAATGCACACTACTGGATTTCTAAAATCAACTGAACAAGGAGACAGAGAAATCCTCTTGTTTTTTTTTTTTTTGTTTGTTTTGTTTTCCTTCATTCTCTTTATGAAAACTCTGTGACATTCTTCCCTCTAAAAACAAGCAAGAAAATGTTGTTGGAATGAGCTGGGCAAGCCATAGAGCTTTCCTGAACACCCCTAGCTTTTCTTTCAGATGGTTATTTCTCATAAGTCTTGAGGGAGGGAGAACCCCTTGGAAAAGCCAGAAGCAGATGTTCTTAATGGGAATCACTCTGAGAGCCTTTATCCTGGCTTGGGATACAGAACAAAGAACAATGCTTCCCTCAGCAAGCCTGTTGAATGTCAAATGCGCGAACAATTACAGGGTGTTAACCTAAGGGAATTGGCTCTGGGGTCCAGAGAACTCAGAGAACTCGACATGAAACAGACCAAGAACTCCTCTGAGCTCTTGGCACAGTGAATGTGATGTAGCGTGTCTCAGACTGACTGCACAACAGCTCTGGGAAGGTGGCTGTGTTGGGTTGAAAGCCCACAGAGCTCATTTTCACTTAAAAAGCTGGCATGGTACTAGAATAGCATTTTGCTCTGGTCTTTGCCCAATAATCAAGGTTAGGTATTTTTTCCACTTAAAAATAGTCATAGAGAGAAAGGAAGTAAAAATAAAGATGATAAAATAAGCGACATTTATTTGTCTTAGGGCAGTCAAGTTTGGATGAGGAGAGATCCCCAGGTGTTATGTCTTCAAGTCTTGCTCAATAGTCTGTGGTGCTGTCTAGAGCTGGGGGATCCTTTGGGTCCTATGGGGAAGAACGTAGGCCATGGCAGGACTCAAATGGATATTGGGACCTGCAACCTTTCTTCTCTCTGTCTTCACTTTTCTCAACAACAAAGCATCCTCAGTTGGATTCTGCTTTGCCATAGGCCCCAAAACAAGAGGATCAAGGAACCACTCAAGCTGTAAGCAGAAGTAGACCATTTCTTCTTGATCTCAGGTATCCTGCCACAGTGATGACACAAGGAATTTACAGACAAGCTACAAGCAAATGAAATGTGTAAGGCTTAGTATCCATTGTTAGTTACTAAATGGAGTGTGTTAATAAACATGAGACATAAGAAAGCTTCATGCTTCCAATGCATTCACATAGTCATCTCCATTATCTGCAGACAATAACATTCTGTTTAAGGCATTCTCAGGACTATGCTTAAAACACTTGCCTCTCTTCTACTTCAAAATACTTAATACTAGGGAATGGAGAGTTGGCTCGGTGGTTAAGAGCACAGGCTGTTCTTCCAGAGGATCTGTGTTTGATTTCCAGCACCCACGTGGTAGCTCACAACCATCTGTAACTCCAGTCCCAGCCACTTTCCTAAGGTACTGCATATACATACATGCAGGCAAAATACCCATATACATAAAAATATGGAAATCTTTAATAATATTTATTACTTTAAGATTAAGTATCCAAAATGAAGATATGACTGGAGAATAACAAAAATATGCAGTAGTTGGAGGTATTTCCTATTTATGGACAATGTTGATAAAAAATAATCACTTCAGGCACATTAAAATCTTCTTTAATCCTCCACTGATAATGCATGGTAAGTCAGTTTTTTTTCTTCCTCTCTCCTTCCCTCCCTCCCACTCCCTCCTTCCTTCAATCCTTTCCTTTTTGAGAATTGGTTTCCTAGACTCTAGCCCAAGCTGGCTTCAAACTCAGTGTTTAGTTCAAGCTGTCTTTGACTGCCCAGCTATCCTCCTGAGTGCTAGGGTTATAAGCATTCATCCCTATGACCAGCTTGTAATTCTGTTTCATTGCAATGTAAAAAGAAATCATTTGCTTAATTTCATTCAGTGAACCACGTGAGTCAAGCCATAATGCTTTATGTGCCAGGAACCCAACTAAGGTCCTCTGTAAGAGTAGCAAGCACTCTTAACCCCTGAACCATGTCTCCAGTCCATAAAACACATTTTATCCATCACCTACTAGTATATAACCAAATATATACAGCTAATTACTTTGTACTCTCTCCAAAGATCTGTTCAGACCAAATGGAAAATGAAGTTTCTATTTATAGAGAGCCTTAGAAACACTAAGTTCCTATTACAGTCCCAAACATAACATCACACTATCCTATAGGTTCCTCTTACCAGTATAAAGGTCTTACCTGCTACATATGACAGGTGGAGGCAGGATCTGAGGGGACAGGTCAGGGGCACTTTGGGTGTAAGTTAAGGCCCTATGAGATCCAGGGCCTCGCTTGGCAGTTATTTCAGAGGATTCTGGAAACTGTGCTGAAGTAATGTTGCCAACAGGACTACTGGCAGGCGATCCTTGAGGAGGTGAGGAGGAGGGAGAGGGTACAGGTGAAATTTTAGCAAGGCCACCTGAAAGAGAATGAGAGTTATGATGTCATTCAACAAACATCCCTGAAATGCAAACATGTCACCGTCACTTCCTGTCAGTCACCGTCACTTCCTGTCACCGTCACCCTGTATACATACAATCAGTAGCCACCAACATCATGCTTGGCCCCAGATCTGGTCTTATCTTTATGCCACCATCCAGAGACGGGATATGTACCTGGACTGACTCCATGGCATGAAAATATTACCAGTAAATTATCCTGAGAAATTGGTGGCAGGGCTAGCATACCCGCTGAAGCCACAGTGGCCTTAAGCCACCTCAGGGCAGAAGGATATTATTTTCTTCTCCCATTTTTGTTTCTCTCTTGTCATCCTGACTGAAAATAACAATTACAATGGTCTCATGTGTCTGAAAAAATACCAGCTGGAACAAAACTCACTACATTTTAAAAGAAATACTTTTTTTTTTTTTAAACATGCATGTGTGTTTGCCTGGGTAAGTTTATGTACACAGCATGTGTGCAGGAACCTATCGAGGCCAGAAGATGGCACCAGATACCATGGAACTGGAGTTCTCTAAGTGATTGTGAATCACCATGTGGGTGCTGGGAATCAAACCCAGGTCCTCTGCAGGAGCAGCCTGTGCTCTTAAATCATCGAGCCATTCCTCCAGACCCACCATTGCTTTAAAGTTCAGAGCACACAGTGGAGTTATAGAATGCTTAAAATGTGCAAGTGAAGATGATCACTGGGGGAGGCAATTAGACTTCTTAACTATTCACACATCCAGTGAACTGAACATTTCTCTGTGAAAATGCACTCCAAGAAAAGTAAGTTTGAAGCGAACATTAAAACATGTGCTATATCCAGCACAAACGACACAGTAGGCTTAAAGCTTAAACTTCAAAATTGGGTACTTATGCCAGGCTCCCCATGTTTACATTTATGCTACAGTGTGAGTCTGTCTAGGGCACTGGCGAGGATTTTTAGACCTCTCACTCTGTAAGATAAGACTAATGTCTTTTGAAGTTGCTTCCTCCCAAATACAGAGAAGGCAGAGTACAAGTAAAATTGGGGGGAGGGGGAGAAAGACGAATGACTTTCAAGTCATTCATAGGCGTCTGCTTATCCCCTCTCAGGGAAACTGATGGCCCCAGATATCACATTCAGAGTGAATGTGTGCAGCTAACGGGCAGCTGGTCCAGGTGGCCTTGTGTCAAAAATTCAGTCCCTTTAGAAGTTTGATTTTTCCCAGTGCCAAGTTTGCTGCCCCATAGAGTGGAACATTATAACTTGTAGGAGGGTTTCCTTGGTGTTCTTTTCACACTTTTGTTAGGTTCCCAGCATGGTGGACAACCTCCCTACTGAGCCCCTTGCAGCATAGTTTTGTGTTGCTTCCTAACCAGCAGAACAATCCCTCATATTTGTACCTAACAGATGAACCCACCTTGGCCCAGAGAGAGTAACTAAACATGTTGCCAGGGTTAGGAAGAGCTAGTGAGAAGGAGAACATGGGGATGAGGCCGGCACTGGTCAGTCTGGGCTTTTTAAAAATTAATTAAATCCTATTCACAGTTTCCCTTCCCTTCTCTTCTCCCAGTCCCTCCTCCTCCCTGCTCCCACCCTCCCTGCCTCACCTTATCCTCTTATCCTCTTTATATTCAGGAAAGGGCAGGCCTCCCATGGATATTGAGAAAACATGGCATATTAAATTGCATTAAGACACCTTCCCATGTATTAAGGCTGGGCAAGGGAACCCATTATGAAGAATAGGTTCCCCAATGCTGACAAAAGAATTAGAGACAGCCCCTGCTCCCACTGTTAGGAATCCCATAAGAAGACCAAGCTACACAACTGCCAGATATATGAAAAAGCCCTAGTTCAGTCCCATACAAGCACCCTGGTTGTCAGTTCAGACTCTGTAAGCTTCTGGAAGCCCAGGTTAGTTGATTCTATGGGTTTTCTTGTGGTGTCCTTGACCCCTCTGGCTCCTATAATCCTTCCTCCCCATCTTCCGTAGGGTTCCCCAAGCTCTACCTAATGTTTGGCTGTGGGTCTGCATCTGTTTCCATCAGTTGTTAGATGAAGCCTCTCTGATGACTATTGAACTAGGCACCAATCAATAACTTATAGCAGAATATCATTAGGAATCAATACACTGACATTTTTTTTCTCCAGTCATGTTTGGTTCTATCCTAGGTCTCTGGGCCAGAAACCTGATTGGGTTTTAAACACTGGTTGTGCTTTAAAAATGAGCCTATATATCAGCATTGCTGTACATACTGGCTCCATCATTTTGATGGCAACTTACCAGATTTGGGGCTACCTTTCTACTATTTTTGTTACGTGTGTGTGTGTGTGTGTGTGTGTGTGTGTGTGTGATTGTATGAGGGTATGGAGGTAAGTATGATCTTCACTGTCTTCACCAATGGTTTTTCACCTTGATTTTGGGGTCAGAGTCTCTCACTGAACCTGGAGCTTACTGATACTCCTAGGCTGGTCACCATCTATCCCTAGGAATCCTCCTGTCCCTTCCTCCTCAGTGCTGGGATGGCAGGCTTGCCTCAGCCTGGCTTGGCTCTTTACATGGATGATGAGGCTTGAACTCTTGAGTCAAGCACTTTCCCGACTGAGCTGCCCCCCTCAGCACCCCCCTCTTTAAGTCTTTTTATTTTTATTTTTTTAAAACAGACCATTAATTCAAAGCAAGTTGGGAACTTCTCCATTTCTATCTGGACACAAATGTGTTTTTGAGGGCAATTTATGAGAAGACTGATTTTGTTTTAGTAGCTGAGAGCTGATAGCTGTAGAGACACAGGGGTTCGTTCTTAAATACACATTTTAAAATCTGTACAGCCATTAGCGTTCTTGGAACTCAGTGATTAACTAAATTTAAACTAATAAGCAGACTTTAAGGCTCCTGGGATGAACTCTTAAATAAATGTGCAGCAGAGAAGCACTTTGCTTTTATGGTTCTTTGCTCTATGTATTTTGAACTCTTTAACAAGCACCAGGTCTCTGCACTAACAGGGAGAAGCAGAGATTTAGGGTGCAGGGTGGAGGAGATGATGAAAGTGCAACATTTACTGCAAGTAAAAAAAAAAAAAAGAAAGAAACACGAGGGATGGTGTGGTGAGAGGACACACATTTCCATACACCAGCCTTCAGACAGATGGAGAGATAAAAGATTAATGCAGACACAGGCAGAGTATACTTTAATGTTTCAGTGGGAAGAATTTCAGATTTCCGAGTTGTGTGGATTTGGAAATATTCACACCAACTTCAATAGCTGAGCATCTCTAATGAAAATTTGGCAATCCAAAATGTCCCAACTTGGATTTTCAGATTAGGATTGCTCCATATGTAATCACCAAATACCATTTCACTTCAGAAAGGAGGGAATAAAGTATCATAGGTATAGAAAAGGTATTTCCCCAGGGAAATTAGAAATAAACTTCTTTGCAAGGTAGAAAGATAGAAAGGAAGGGAGGGAGAGAGGGAAGGAGAGAGGGAGGGAAGAACAGAGAGAAGGAGAGAGAGAGAGAGAGAGAGAGAGAGAGAGAGATTGATTCTAAGAATCTTTAAGGGTCTTCAATCTAAGTTTAGAGGGAAGATATCTAATTTTGTGTCACACACACACACACACACACACACACACACTGGATGAC